AGCTACGTAAAACGTTTCACCCAGTTAGACGATCAGAACATCCGATATAGTTTACATCTAGTCATCATTTCGAATTCATGTTAAAGTTTGAACCATATATACAGTGAAAATTTTTAAGTTAACTACTAGAACAGCAAAAACAAAAATCATAAACTTCAGCATTAATTAAGGAAAGTTATAATAAAATTAAATAAAAATAAGTCAGAATCAAGAATATTCTTTATAAAAACAAGAAACATAACAACTGAAAAAGCAAAACGATAAAGCTAAATTTGATTAATGCTGAAATATCGTGTTCTGAAGTTACAGCTCAAATCTACGCAATGTAAGTCCTCTAAGATATATCGAGCAAATATATACACTGAAACAGTAGTTAAAAAATTCAGCCACTACCGATCTCAAGCCCGGATAAGAAGGGAAGGTGTTGGAGATCGTGTCGAAGTCTCATGCAAAGCCTCGCCACTTGCCCTCATTCTAATGCCGTCATCATAAGTCACACCGGCTCGATCCTGGGTTGGGTCAAGAGCCACGATGGCCGCTGGGGGATTCAGACAGGCTATGAAAAGACGGCGCTGAAAACCTGCCTAAGGCCTTCTGTCACCTGGAGGGCGTAGAACGACAAACGCTGCCGAACATCGAGAGAAAAACGACGACGAATATAGCAGTCAATAACGAAGCCGCTACACGTTCTGAAGAGAGGATGTAAACAGCGCCGTGCTATTACTGCACGTTAGAAGGGATTTAACGAAAGCGCCGACAGTGGAGGTTCATACTCGAACACTAGAATATCCTTACTCAGAAGGAAACAACAGACGAAAGCTGACCAGGCCGCAAGTTACCAACTTGACATAGATGGACATGACGAAATTCCATAGCTATGGAATTCTGATCTTCTGTGGGTAGAACTTGTTCTACTCAGGTGTCGATTCCACGATTCGCGTTTAGGCCGCTGCTGGTGTTCTGGTAGAACCCAACCTGGCCGACAGAATCACTGAATGTCTGTCAGCGGAATGGTGGCACTCCTCCTACTGAAGCTACAACAGGCTAAAGCGTGACCTTGTTACAGGTGTATGCATCCAATTTGGAGGGAAAATATGAGCCCTTCTTTGAGGAAGTATAGTGTGCTCCGTACGAAGTGCCGACTACGGAACCCATCATTCTAATGGACGATTTTAATGCGCATGTCAGAGAAAACAGCGAAAATTGGATAGGCGTGACTGGAAAGAACGGCTCTAGCGACCTAAAAATTACGACATGAAGTTGCTGCAGTTTTGTGCAGATAACGGCTGTCCATTACGAACATTTTCTTCCAACACCGAAGAGACCATCAGTAGGAAGATTAGGCACAGAAATCTGATAACGACTGATCTGATAATCGTATCGTCTGAGATCTAGATGTTCGCGTTAAGAGAGGAGCAGAGCGATCAACCGATTATCACCTTGTTGTTAACACGTTATACGGTAAGAAATGGAGTACCATACGAAGATCTGGTGGCAGAAAAATGCGGAAATTTGCGAACAACATCGCACATCGGTTTGAACAGATCCAAGCGATGACAACTGATGTTGAAACCTAGTGGCAGCTCTTTAAGAGCAGCATACTCAAGGCTGCCGCCGAATGCTGGGGATTTAAACGGGTTGGCTCGCAGCCTGGAGGTCAGAGAGGAACTTCCTGATGGACACGAGAGGTACAACTGGCAGCTAAAGAGAAAAAGGCTGCAATCAAGAAATGGCTTGGAAGCAAACTCGCATGCGATATGTCGAAACAGGCAAGGCGGCAGCGAAAGCATCTGAGAAAGCCAAAGCTAATTTCTGGGAGAAGTTCAGCGAGGTGTTGGAGTCGAATTTCCACACAGCAAACTAGGTATTCGGGCAGGCTATCCATCATCTCCGAGATGGAAAAAAGGACAGTGCAAGAGTCCAGAAGGACAATTCCGTGCGCAGTTTTGAAAAGGATGAGATGAGGACGTACCTCGGTGACAATAAGGGCAGTTTAAGCGATGTAGGAGGAATCGCCTGAAGAACGGCTGGAAACGGATATAAGATTTTAAGCAGGTGAAGTCACAGAACCCATGAGCATGGATAGCAACTAAGCTGATAGAATTGATGAAAATCGCACAATGCTCAAATCTTCAAGCAAACAAGACATGCAGACAAGACATGTGATTGACACATGGCTGTGAAACAGAAATAGCTAGGGGAACGTACTGGTGTACTGGAGAGCGGGAACTTTAGTAATGCCGCTAAAGAAATGTGACTCAACTGAGTGGTCCAACCATCCGAACATTATTATTACTCCAAAGAAAATTCTACTCAAAGGTGGTAGAAAGCAAGTGCCGCCGAATAACGAGCTCAGATAAAGATACAAGACAGTGCAGCTTCAGGAAGAGCAAAGGACCTCTGATCAGATCATCGCTTTAAGTCAGACTGTAGAAACATTGTGGGAGTTCGCTCATCCGGTCCGCGCATATGCTTTGCGGACTTCGAGAATGTCTTTGACAGGATTCCGCTCAGGAATTTACGGACACACCTGAAAACATATGGGATCGATGGCCAGTTGCTACGGCCCAGTCAATTACTATAAACTGATAACAAATGCAGGGTCAAAGAAAATGGCCTTAAGTCGAAGCCTTTCAAGGTTGGCACTGGTCTGCGGCAAAGTTACGTTACGTTACTGCCCACTTTTCTGTTTGTGCTTTACATGGAAAGAATAGTCAGGCGCAGCCAAGGCGATGAGAATATCAATGTAGGTGATCTGGAAAGAGACGGCTGCTGCTTCTAGATGGCCTTGTTTTGTTCGCATGCTCTGAAACTGATCTCCTGGAAAGATTCGTAGCGCAGTGCGACGTGACCGGCATACGTATGAATGTATCTAAAACAAAAAGCTAAGTGCTTTTTCGTTCTCCTGCAGGATGCTCTATTCAGATTAACGGAGAAGGAGTGGAGCAGGTGGAAAAGTTAATTACCTCAAGTTTGTGTTTACCGGTTAAAGAAAATTTGAGGAAGACATCGACCGCCGGACTGGAGTAGCTAGTCACGTCTGTGTGAACAAGACTGAATTGCTGTGAGTACAGCAGAGCTGAGTCAAAAAGTTACGCTTTCACTGTTCGATTGGACCTTAATCCTGACATTCACATAAGGTAATGAGTTCATTGGCCATGAATGAAAAAGTCCGATCTCGCGTACCCCGGCTAAAATAGGGTTTCTGAGACGAGATGCAAGGCTTTCGCGTTTCCACATGGTCCGGAGGATGGATATCCGAGAGAACCCTCACTTTACAGTCGCTGCTTTTCCCGACAGTTAGAGCTGCAATGGTTGTGGCACGTCTAGGAAATGCTTCCAGCAAATCAAGTGAAATGGCTAGAAACCAACTTCTTGCTCAAGCAATCCTCTGATAATCCCCGGGTCACCTGAGAATGACTCAGGTAACTGTCATATAATGTTCGCTCTAGACTCGCGTTATTATCTACCGAAGCTCAAACGCTTCCACAGGATCAGGAACGTATTTCTAACCTATTTGACACGGCTGCCTGCGCGGCTCATTTCATCAAAACTGAAACTGTGGCACGTAGAGAAAGAATCGTGCTAACATGTTGATTTGTTACACATAGAACAGTCGAAAGGAACGAAAACTTTTTTCGCTAAGACGCTATTAAAAGTGTCGATGTCGCTTGGGGCTGGCTTCCAAAATACGACGTTTGCTTTGCTCTATTCTGTTCAACTGTATCCCAACAACATAGGGAATACGTGTGGCAATGCTGCAAAATTAGTGTTGTCATTCAAAGCTATTACATCGAATGTGGTGATGCTCAGGCTCAAGAGCATACAATTTGCTGACGATACTGAGACTGCCAGTACAACGTTGGAGCCTGATCGTTCACCCGACTGTGCTTCTTTTCTGCCGCAGGTCTCCGGTATTGGTTTGACGTTTCTGCCTGGAGCAGATTCTATCATCCTGCGCCGTGTTGCTGTGCTGTAGTTTTGCAGCAGGAAAATAGATCCGGCTTGAAGGAATCCCGTCACTGATCGTCAGTACAATTATGTGACTGGATCTCTGGTAGCTGAGGTTGCCTTAACTCTTTTCACTCAAAGTTCCGAAAACATTTCTGTGCATCAGGGGATTAAGCACGTCATCGTTGTCATCCCAAGCCGCATGGAAAAGCAGGAGAAATTTATTATAAACCCTGTCAGTTCGCAACATCGACGGTGAACAGGATCTTTTGATTTACCTGTTGCTTTGCTTTTCATTGAGAAAAAAAACCACATTATAACATCATGCCAACAGTAACCGCGTCGACCGAGCTAATAAATTTTTAAACAACCAAGACAAACACTTAGCCAAATGCAAATGGAGCTAAGCTGCGCCTACTTGTGATAATGACCAATATTGTATAAATGCGTAATTACCATGGCGGGGCAAAGCGTTTCACAACTTCATAGATCCTTGTTATATATAAAAATGTTAACCCTTTTATACTCCTTCTCGGCTGCAAGGCGAAGATCAAAGTTAGCATCTGTTCTTATCAACATAACCTTTTGTATTTAACCTATATGGTCGCTGAAAGATCAATTCTATTTTTGGATATTTGTGATTCATAAAAGCTTGCTTAGTGATAGCCTTGGGTCAGACCGGCGTTGCACTTTCGCCCAGTCCTATTGACGGCGAAATTATTTGTGAACTGTAGAGCTAAATCGATTAAATAGCGATTAAACTTAGGGAGACATAGTTAAAATTTAAAAGATCATTGATAAAATACCAAATTTACTATAATGCCAGCGTTTCCACTAGATTCGAATTCAGACAGACAGATCAAGCAGAGAAAAGCTTACTCACTGACTGACCACATCTTATATTTACCCATAGTACTTTCATTGGCATTAGGTGTTCTTCAAAAAAGTATCCATGTGATCATAGAGAAGGAAATCACTGATTTCTCTATGCATTTCGATGGCGCAAACTAGCATAATCATCAGGGTAACAGCATAGAAATCAATCAACATGATGTAAGGCAAAACAGTAAGAAATTCGAAATATAGCATCTCATCATTAAGTCCATCGAAGAATGTGTGGCGAGCAAAATGACACGCTACTGTTGCAAGTAGCAAGTACTTTATCTTCAACCTGACCAAGCAACCCCCCTTTAATGGAACTGACTTGTCCAAAAACGGTCCAGGCTAAACCGAACAGGGTAAGGGCGCTGCGGAATCCTACACCGTTGGAAGATCTGACTGGCAGAGCGTCTGTGCAACATAAAGATCGGGCCAGGCAGCACATTATTTTTGACTACAGCATAAACGATATTCAAACCGCTACCATGCGACCATTCATTAATTTAAAAATCTGGACAATGAAATAAAAAGTTGTTAGTGCGCCTGAAGAAGAAGCAACATGTTTGGGTTCATCAGATTTTTTCTTACTAACTGACCGATGACATTAGTTAGTCAGACAGTCGGTTTCGGTAACCGTTTTCAGATCGAAGAGGCAGACGTGTCAGACTGTGTTTCTAACGTCTATGGTGGAGTACGAGCCTCTTGACATTTCGCGTGAAATTACAGAAATGTTAAATAACTGTCTTCATAATCTCGCGCTGTTTCATTTGTGTACTATTATACTGGCGATGACACCTGTGTGCGGTTGGTAAAGAGCCATGGATCGGCAGCAAAAACCATTAACTGTTATTTAAACAAGCAACACGTCGATACCACATCCAATACCTATGTATATTTGTATTTTATTATTTGAACACGTCAGTTCGCAATCAGAAATTGTGTTACCAATCTTCATTATCTACGTGAGCAACTGTCACACCTGCAGGTGGCCAACTACTTCAATCATAGTTAGACGTCGCCCCATCCCCAGTTTGGGAAACCTTAATTGTAGTGTTCATGGTTTCACTTCGGAAAATTCATGAGCATGAATATTTTATGAGTGATGTACAGGAGAGCATAACACGGTTGAACTGTAATGGCTGTTAGACTACGATGCATGCTTGGTTAAGTAGCAGTACCTAACCTGTTTACTTAGGCCGTCATGTTTTCTCATGTATTTCTCATCTTGAATCATGTTCTTTCTTCTGCGATTAGTTCCAAAACACTCATTGTGATATTGTTGGATCTTAGTGCTTAAGTCCACTACAACTGCATTTGACGAAGTTGTTTAACGATTCTATGCCTGCCTATCCATAGCTGTGGTATGCTGAAGCATCGAAGTGCACCACACCTTCTAGGGAATATTTTGTTGTTATTATTTTTCAATATTCTAAGTTCAATATTTTTTACTGCATAACCATAAGACATTTATGGCTTGCGTAGAATTTGATAAGAATCTTCCTTGGTATAAAATATTATAGGTAAGATCCATTCCTTAACAAAAGCAACGTTGTTTGTTGTTCAACTGTTCCATCGCCAGGTTGATGAGTCCCAATCACGTATCGAGTTTGTTCCGAAAAGTATGAACCGTTTAAGTAGTTCCTTTGCACTACAGATTCTTTTCTTTTATATCTGGCTGCAGTGACGATGTCTTACAAATACGCTGGCCGGAGATCAGGAAACAAAGCACCATGAAAACGTGGCACAAATTAATTTTGCTGTACAGATGTTTAAAACCATCCTAATGAAAGTGGCAAGTTATTTCAAAGAAACTTGATCCCGTGGATAGATGGAACAAAGGCTAAAAATTTACTTGCCATATAAACAAATGGATGGGATCATGATCGGCCAGAGGATTCAAAGAGGGATCAATCAGCTTAAAGGTGTGTATGAAAATGGAAGGAAACTTTAGGAAAAACCAGGTTCCATACATATATAA